TCAATGAAAAAGTAAAAAAATTACGTATCCCATGTGAGTTGTCAGTGGGTACATGCAGAACAACTCTAATCCATGTATACTGCCTCTCACGCCTTCTGTCATATGACCCACCTCAATGAAAAAGTAAAAAAATTACGTATCCCATGTGAGTTGTCAGTGGGTACATGCAGAACAACTCTAATCCATGTATAGTGCCTCTCACGCCTTCTGTCATATGGGGGCACCATTTTTTTTTTTTTTTTCAATTTATATCTTCTTCTTGAGATTAGAGAATTGAATTAGCAAATTCATTGAAGTTAGTAAATAATTTTCGTGATGTGACATCAGACTGAATTCAATGCCAGGAAATCTGTACACGTAAGTTCAGTTTTCACAACAATTACTCATTCCGTCTCAATTATATACGCTTCTTTCATTTTTTACACAAATTAAGAAAACTTCTTTAATGTCATTGAAAAATTAATTTTTCCCAAAATTTTTCCTAATTTACCCCTATTTAATTTTCAGTATGTAAAATTAAATTATTGTTGAAATTAATAAGGAAATTGAATTTTCAAGAAGATGGCATATTAAGTGGGGAAAATTTATATTGGTAAAGGAACATAACAAAATATTCTACATTAAGAAACAAGTTTATACATTTGGGACAAAAGAAAAAGGAAACTCAACCTATATAATTGAGACGGAGGGAGTATATTTTTATCGACACAATCTTATAAAAATCCATGTTATATATAGACAATGTAACGCCGCATACTTATTTCTCATGATTATTATGTCTATCTGGATTATTTTTATTAATATAATATTTATTTTGTATTTAATATAATTATTATTCTTGTGACTAACTGCGATTCTACAATGGAATGCACTTTGATGCCCCAAATGAATTACATCCCCTTTAATTCAATTACAATTTTTATATTTTGCCCCTGTTTGGGAGCCATTTTGGCCCCATTTTAATAACAATTTTGATCGTTGGTATGTTAGTGGGACCCGCCTGCCCCCATTAATTTCTGATTGCAATAATTCCGAAAAATGCTATTTATCCCCAATGGGGATGCATCCTCAGTTTATGTGGATGTAAATGATTGGTTAAATGATATGTGAAATTAAATGACTTATTTAATTTCACCTATCATTTAATGCCACATTAACTCCACATAAACAGGGGATGCATCCCCACTGGGGATGAATAGCATTTCTCAATAATTTCACTTTCCCAAATTGCCATTAGTTTAGGTAAGAATGAATTTTGTATAAGGGCAAGCTAGTCATTTGACGTCATTTTGGTCAAAAAGTTTAGGCCCACCTCCCTCGCTACATTTTTTCTACAATTTGGAGGAAGAATGGCTCCCAAATAGGAATTTATATCATATTAAATTATATTATGTACTTTATTCAATTTTGTACCGTCTTACTTTTGAATTGAACCTAGACGTCCACAGTGGCGGTGGGCGATAGGATTTTGGTGTTGGGGAAGGGTGGGAGTGGGGTGGGAGTGGGGAAGGTGATGGTTTTTTTCTTTTATTTATTATTTTTAAAGGTAAATTATTAAATGCCCCTTCCTAAAATGATCAAAATATCTTATTTTTCAATTTTTCAGGTTGACTAACGGTGATTTGGATGGTTTCCGTTCAGATAGACATTCGGTGCGAATTTCTCAAATGTTTGGGACCTATGGTGGCACAAAGTGAATGTTGATGTAAAGTATGCAAAAAATGAAAAGGTTTGGGACCGCGGCTGCAATTTTTCCTAAAATAAATAGACCAAATCCTATTAAATTTGTTGTGACTAATAAGACTAAGGATCCGTTTGATTGGACTGGTGGAAAATGAGTGGAAAGAAAATGAATTTTAGGGAAAGTAATTGCCTAGAAAATGTTTTGTAGGGAATTGTTAATTAAGTGTGTTTGATTGTTATAATTTTTCACTTGGAAAATTTTTAAATTTTATGTTCGTTTGACTTTGTTTTATATGTAAATTGTTCATTAAAGTGATAATTATTTCCACAATTGATTATAAAATTTGTTTCCATTGTCAAAAAGTTAAAAAAAAAAAAAAAAATTGTTTCCTAAAAATCATTTTTTTAATCAAAGTTTAGTATTCGTTTGGCTTTCTTTTNATTTCCTAAAAAATCATTTTTTTTAATCAAAGTTTAGTACTTGTTTGGCCTTCATTTACATCAAAATTGTCCATGAAAGTGAATTTTTTTTTACACTTGGTTATGAAATTTGTTTTCATTGACAAAATAAATAAATAAATAAATAAATAAATAAAAATTTTCCCTCGTTCCAAGGAAAATTGGCGCGTAGACAGCCTCCTAAGAAAACCAATTGCCATCATTTTTTGCCCATCAAACAATGATTTTGGTTGGAAATGGAATTTAAATTCCCAATTCCATAGAATTCTTTGCCCATCAAACTGGGCCTAAGATGTAAAAGGATTTCTATTTTCTAAAAAAATAAAAGAACATAGTAAATTAAGTCACTCTGTTTTAAAACATGTAAAAATTTTCGAAGTGTTACAATATATATTAAAGTGCTGCACATGACTCATGCTATGTGAATATTTTCCAAGAGAAAAATATATTTATTTTGAGTAGTTACAAGAAATGGTAAAAATTTAAGCGCATGTTCGGTAGAGATTAAAATCGAATTAAAATTGAAAAATTAACTGTTATTATTGACTTTTATTAGACGAGTGAGACACAATAAAGGCTATATTTTCAATTTTAATTTGATTTTAAGCTTTGCCCAACATGCTCTAAGTATAGTATTAGCATGTTACTTTGAATTACTTGAGTATATATTTTAAGTGTTGCACATGATTCATCTATGTAATTTTTTGTCCAAAAGAAAAAAATATATTTATTGTAGAAGTTAAAGAAATACTAGAAAACTAGTTTAGATTAGAATATTATTTAAATATAGGGTAAAATAAACGATTAGTCACTGAACTTTAGTTTGTGTTACTTACTGAAAGAGTTTTAAAATTTAACTCAATGCTCCCTCAACTGTAACAAACGTAACTCATCCATCATTGAAATGAAGTTCGTTTGAAACCTTTGACGGAATTATCCACATGATGATTGAAAATATGACGTGTCACTATTTACCGTTAAAAAATACTCCATGTCAACAACTCGTCCTCCCAAATAGCCCCTAACACGAGTAAAAGAATTGACAAAATTTTTTTTTTGATAGCTTACACGACTAAGACAATTGACAACTACTGTGAGGAATAGTGGACAAAAGATGGGCAGGCAAAAATTTACTACTGTGAGGTCTACAAGTTTCCTGGCAAATTACCTAAGGATTATGGATTGCAACGGGAAGGATATGAGACAGGTCGATCATTCTCACCTTATTTCGTCGAGCTTTTTTGTTACATTCTTCCATCCTCATACCTGGTTAAAACGGAACGGCATGGGACGGGGACCCTGCTCCATATATAATCCCATTTTTTTATATTTTATTTATTGTATTTTTTGCTTTTATTTTATTTTTATGTTTTTAGTTAGTAAATATTATTAATTTTTTTTCTCAATTTATTAAGAACAATTCATTTTCTTTTTAAAAATGATGATAAATCTTTTATTTTCGTTTAATAAAAACACTTAAATTTAAAAATAATTTTAAACGGAGCTGATAGCGGGATGGTGACTATGTTTCCTGTTCCTGCCCTGACCCTCTTCGGGGCATTGAACCCCACCCTGTTTACCTAGTTAGGTGGGGCAATCCCAATCCCATTTGGGACGGGCCCCACGGATATTGGTTGAACGGATTTTTTCGCTATCCCAATCAAGGATGAGCCTCAAAATGAAGAGTTGGAAACTGGGTTAGAATTATTGAAAGAAGAGATGCCTCGTGCTGAAGAGAATTGCAGTCTGAGTTCATTCAGTTTAGTCTCAACATGTTTTGGTAGTTTGACAATGCAAGAACACCCTGCACTGATCCAGTCAACGGTTTTCGACCAACCATTTGTTTGTTATTGACTTATTATTCATTTGAGTACTGAGCCCAGGTTCCAATGCCATTAATTTATTGAGCATGTCACGATCAGTAGGCGGACCCTGAAGACCACCTCCCATGACCCATATGCTCCATCCCTTGCACTTTTTGCATCTAAATTTTTTCTGCAGTGGTGTGCCTCGGAAAATCCTTCAAGCCGTCTGAAAATGGAAGATGGAAATATCCACCAATATGAGCATTGTATGGTCATCTAGGCATACTAAAATACACTTGAAATAGAGCCCTTGTTGTATTAAGAAAGAGGCTTTCGTCAATCTGAAGACCACTTAAACGTGAAGGGTCTATTTGATTGCAATAGTGGAATTTGGGTTGAAAGAAAATGAAATTCAGGGAATTGAATTGCCTAAAATTCTCAATTAATTGTGTTTGATTAATATAATTTTTCATGTGAAAAATATTAAAATTTTGGATCTTTTGGTGTTTGTTTGGTTTTGTTTTACATGAAAATTGTTTTTAAAGGGAATTTTTTGTTTTTTACAATTGGGAATATAATTTGTTTCCATTGCTCAAAAAAAAAAAAAAAAAAAAATTCCAGCCAGCCAGGAAAACATTTTCCCACCAAAAAGGGGGGAAAAAATTTTCATCAAAAATCTGAAAAACCAAAAACCACCAAATAGGTGGGAATGCAAATTCAAGGAAAAGCTGAAAAATGAGGCAAAGTTGAAAAATCAATTGCCTAGAAAATTTTGGCTATCAAACAACAAAAATTGTGGAAAATGAAAAATATTTTCCAACTTCCATGGAAAATTTTACCCATCAAACAGGGCCGAACATATGTAAAGATCATAGTACATATCAGGAAATAAGAAAAATGATGTTCTTAACTGTAATTATAACCGTAGACCGAGGTATTTATGGCAGGAGTAGTTCTTTGTTTTGTGAAAATGGATGAAAAACTCAATCAAGGTAAAGTGAAATTGGATGAGGAAATAAGCCCTTTAATGAAAATGGAGAATTGTAAAAGAAGTGTTGTTTTCATATCTGTTAGGGCCTGTTTGGATAGCTAGTTAGGGGCTGTTTGGAAGGGCGAATTGTTGACGTGGAGTGTTTTAACGGTTAAATAATGTCATATCAGATTTAGTTCCGTCAAAGGCTTCAAATGGATTCCATCTCAATGATGGATGCGTTATGTTTGTGATATTTGAGTGAACATTGAGTTACGTTTTAAAGTTTAATTAGTAAGTAGTTACACAAATTAAAGTTCAGTGACCAATAATTTATTTTACCCTCTAAATCTAATTAAGTACATATATTAAAAGTGCCGCACATGATCATTATTATGTTGAAACCCGTACATGTACGAGATCGTTGACAAGTAATATAAATTAGCGAGTTTCGAGTTTATTGTTCCCACGAGAAATAATGTTTAATATTTAATTAAATAGCTTTTATCAAGTAAATAAAAAAAATTTTATTTATTTTTTAACCACACATTCTCGCAAATATTACTTTACCAAAATACATTATTTTGAACAAGAGCTATGAAAGTTATCTACTGTTAAGGGATAAAATCCCACATTGAACAAAGATGAAAATATAGACCAATTTATAAGAGTTTGAACTGCTCCTCTTAATAAGGTTGACCTTTTAAGATAGAACCCCAATTCTTAACATGATATTAGAGCCCATTAAGTTTCAATAAGCAATTTGATCCGATTACGACTCAAACAAAATTGAGCACATGGATTTCAAAATTGGTTTGCTCAAATGAGCCACTATCTTGCAAGGCATGTTAAGGAATAAAATCCCACATCAAATAAAGATGAAAATATAGACTAATTTATAAGAGTTTGTGCTACTCTTCTTAATAAAGTTAACCTTTTAAGATGGAACACCAATTCTTAATATGTACTAAATTCAAATCCAATTCTCCAATCTCGAGAAGAAGATACAAAAAAAATAAAAAATAAAATTGAGTATACAAATTATAAGCCGCTAGATTCTTCGATGGAGCCTATAATAAGGCGACCATCTTGAGCACATTAGCAGATAAGAACACCGACCATGGAAGCTAAACAGAACTCCCAATTACCTCACATAGTCATGTTACCACCTCCAGCACTATTAGGTCATCTCATTCCCTTCATTGAGTTTGCTAAAAAGCTTGTCTTCCAGTATAATTTCTCAGTCACCTTCATAATCCCAAGTGATGGTTCGTCCATTAACTCCCAAAAGGCCTTACTTGAAACCGTTCCCGTGAACTCTATTTTTCTTTCTCCAGTGTCCATTGATGATCTCCCTAAGGGCTCAGGTATCGAAACCCGCATGTCAAATAGCATAATTCGATCACTGCCGGCTATTCGCGGAAGGTTGAATGAACTCAACAAGTCTAATCGTATTTCAGCTCTTGTGGTGGATCTTTTCTGTCCATTCGCCATTGATGTAGCTAGAGAATTCAGTATTCCCACTTACATCTTTTTTATTACAGCAGCCACGGACTTGTCACTGGGCTTCAATCTGCAGGAACCCGAGTCCAGTTTGTCTGAGTATGGAAATTTACAGGAAACCGTTGAATTAGCCGGTTCTCTAACATTACACGGGTCAGACATACCCGATTCGATACGAGATAAGAGCAATGATGCCTATAAATGGACTGTTGAGTTGTGCAACAGGTACAGATTAGCTGATGGAATCATTGTTAATAGTTATCTGGAGTTGGAAACAGATGCCTTTAAGGATTTGCAGCAACATGGATCGAGCATTCCACCGATTTATCCGGTTGGACCGCTGATACAATCCAGCTCGGATAGTGAAACTGACCCTGGATCCAAATGTATTGAATGGTTAAATCAGCAACCACCTAGGTCTGTGCTGTATGTTTCCTTTGGCAGTGGCGCCACATTATCGAAGGAACAATTTAATGAATTGGCGTTGGGTTTGGAAATGAGTGGGCACAGATTTCTTTGGGTTGTGAGGAGCCCACAAGAAAATGCTGTGGCTGCCTATTTCAGTAATCAAAAGGCTAAAAGCCCTTTTGATTATCTGCCCACAGGGTTCTTGGAGAGGACAAAAGACAAGGGTCTAGTTGTGGATTCATGGGTTCCTCAAGTACAAATCTTGAGCCATGGCTCAACAGGAGGGTTTGTGACACAGTGTGGGTGGAATGCAATTCTTGAAAGTGTAGTGAATGGTGTGCCTGTAATTGCATGGCCACTATGTTTTGAGCACAAGATGAATGCAGTATTCTTGACTGATGGTTTGAAGGCTGCAATTAGGGTTAAGGAGAATGAGAATGGCCTTGTTGAGGAAGGGCAAATCTCAAATCTTGTAAAAGAATTGATCGAAGGAGAAGAAGGAAAACAAGTTCAACACAGGATGAGAGAGCTCAAGAATGTTGCTGCAAAGGCCTTGACCCTGGATGGATCTTCCACCAAGTCATTTGTCGAGGTTGTCCGAAAATGGACCGGCAACACGCAATGCTAGATCTCTAAGGTTTTGTTTCGCTAGATAAAATGAATCATAGCAGACAATATTAAGGAGTTGTTTGATGAAGGTTTTGATAAAAAAAATTAGCATATTATAATAAAAGTTAATGAAATGTGTGGTTTAATTTTAATTTTGATTATCTCAACTTTTAATCTCTTTCAAACAATCTAAGAGAGAAAAAGAAGTTACTATCTTTTTTCTTGTGTGATAATCTTTCTTGTCACATTTTCTAAATCATGTTTGATATAACAATTAATCATGCTATCTTTTACATTATTGTTTATATTGTGTCACGTGAGAATAAACCATTGAACAATTTAAATTTTTTTAAAAAAAACATTTTTTCTGCCCATAATTTTTTGAAAACAAATGAAATGTCAAACACAATGTAAGCTATTGAATGTACGTATAACCTTATTCTTGAAATAAAGTCTTTTATGGGTAGCGAGTATGGTTCTTGTCATTGTATTGTTCGTAGAGAGGCAGACAAATTTGAGGAGTCAGTTGTTTGATTTGACTCTATGCTGGGTTTTATTTCGTCTAAATTTCATGACGATTTACCCACACAAAATTTCTTTTTGGCACAAAATAGAAAAAAAAAAAAATAGAAAAAGAATATATGATATTTAAGATACTTTTTTGAAATAATACACACACACATTGAACCCGAAAACATTTACTGTTCTTTATGAAAATGAAACAACTGATGACTGAGCTGTTTGTGTCAGAATCTCCTCAAAATTTCACCTTCCAATATTTTGTTGATAATCAATTTCCTCCTCACATTCTTCAACCAATGTTAGCTGAGGATGAGACTTTTATTGAAGAGTTCCTCATGTACAGGGTGCCCCCACCGAAAACTCACATGGGGGTGAGTAATTTTTTTATTTTCTTATCGAGTGCGAGTTGTCGGTGGGGGTTCCCACCCTGTACATGTAGAAAAACTCTTTATTGAAATAGAAGTACTCTAATTAACAGGTTGGTACCTTGACAAAAGATTTGAGATTAACCAAACAGTTGGTATTTACAAAAAATTGCACTCTCGGCATTCATTAAAAATGTAAGGACTGTCACTCAACTGGAAATATTTTTGACAAGTACAATGAACAAAGGGGCACCTTTGATCTTTCTATCAATGAATAGATAGTGATAGATATAAATTATGAAAAGATCAATTTAAGTGCTTTATTGTAAATAAAGTCATAAATAAAATGGATTGAAATTCGAGAAAGACTAGCCAATTTACGGTACTTCCTCAATTCTGTCATATAATTTTACCTTCAAATTTTCGAGAAACTGAACGAAATTTCTCTGTGATGATCCATCCATGTCTAATGCACTGTGCATGATCTTCCTTACTTTCTTCATCTCTTGCTTCAAATCATCAGAAGTTTTTCCACTCATCAACATGTTAATCTTCTGAGCAACTTCTTTCATACTAAGTTGCTTCCCTTCACAAAGATTAATTCCAATCTTCCAGTCACTAACCACCAGTTTCCTGTTTGTAGGTTGATCTGCGATAAACGGATAACAGATCAGGGGTATGCCATACCAAATACTTTCCAATACTGAGTTCCAACCACAGTGTGTTATGAATCCACCTACTGACTCGAGTGAAAGGACAATATTTTGATTGCACCATGGAAGGATGAGCCCTCGATCCTTTATACGATTATTGAATCCATCAGGCAAAATATCAGTTTCATCAGGGCCGGCAATATCTGGCCGGAGGATCCAGATAAAATTTACTCCAGTTAGAAGAAGAGCATTTGCTATCTCCCCAATATCCTGCTTATTACTCTGAGCAATGCTACCAAAAGAGATGTACAAAACGGAGCCAGGAGGCTTGGATTTGAGCCACTGAGTGCAATCTGATTCAGACCAAAGGCTTTTAGCAACACTAATATTTGAGAAGGTAGTATCAAAATTTATAGGGCCAATTGCATAAGTTGGTTTTTTCAGATTAAGGGTTGATAGTGATTCCGATTCAAGTTCATGGATCGTGTTACATAAGATAAAGTCTGCCTTCTTCACTTGCTCAAACCCCTTGATAACAATCTTGAGCAATGTTGTGGTTACGTCATCATCCTGGAGATATGACATCAAGTCACTCTTGCTAATTGGCTGAACACCGGGTATGTAATCTATTTGATGCTCAAAATCACCTAATAATCAAGCAAAAACGAACTGTACGTGTTAAGCATTAGGCTTGTGCACATTTCAAAACTCAATCCCATGTATTGAATTAAGGCTAACAACATAAAAACAGTTAAAGGTAAAAGAAAAGGGCTTATAAGAGTCAATCGTTACCATAAAACAGTACAAGAGTCACTTTGAACAAGGAGCTTAAGCATGTTTCTCTAAGCTATAAGTATATCAAAAGTAGAAGTTCCTATGTATTCTAATGTTCTTTTTTCAATTAACTGAAGCCTTACTTATTTTAAAATTATGACGACCGGATCAAGGATGTGGCCTCATGAGTTTCAACTTACTTTCAGTATCCGGAAGAGATTCTCTACTCTTCTTTTGCTGGAGGTTTGGTCTATGGCCCCTCTCAGTTGTAGCTCTCTTTTCACTTGTTATTAATAAATTATCCACATAATAATATGATCGATTAAAGAAAGCAAAACATAGGCATAGGCTTCCATTAAACTCCAAACTTTTTAAGCACAGGCAAACATGGTTGAAAAGTAACGCACAATCATATATAGGCCTAATTCATAAATGTTGGATGAAGGAAGAAAAGAAAGAAGGTGCGCATACCATTCCATGGGAGATGGCCATTTTCTCTGAGAAGATCCAAGTGATAATCTATAGCAAACACTGTAGCTGGTTCTGTCCACAGTGAAACATTCACCAGACTGTACTTTTCAGCAATTGCTGCTGGCCATGAATAGAAAGTGTCAGCAATCAGAAAATACACAGAAGATGGATCGGATTGAATTGTTTTTCCAACTAGTTCATCAACACGAACAGGGAAATCCCGAAACATAGAATCCCAGAACTCGTCGAAGTTGAGATCCCGATCAAATTCTGGAGGAAACCCATCAGAAATCGTGCTGTAATGTATTTCCAGTCCAGATTTTCGAGCTTCAGCAAAGAAATCTATTTCAGTAGAAGAACTGAGATTCTGGGCTTTAGTTATCAAGTGATGAATAAATTCGGTGTGGATGTAAGTAATGGTGAAGCCCTTTGAAGCAAGCTTGAGAGCAAGGTTGATAGCTGGGGTAATATGTCCTTGAAAGCAGAAAGGAATTATAATGGCATGTGGCTTTCGTTGCCTCTCCTCCATTTTCCCTCTATCCACAGATCTTTGTAGAGAGCGTGAGGTGAATTAAAGAGGACCGTTGAACATTTTTTTATGGTGCTACTGTTTTGCGGGGATTAAAATCTAATTTTTAGTAGATTTTGATAAAAGTTGATGAAATGTGTGGTTGAAAAATTATTTGTCGATTTTATGAAATATGCGATTAAAATTAATTATTTACTTTGATTTTGATTCAAATCTAGATTTAATTCATATCAAATAGTGGCTGAATAATATTGCTCCGCTATAAAAATTTTGAATTATGTTTTTTGTACATTCCTCGTTGATATCAAGTTTGACATCCCCTTATGTGTAGAAAATTTGGCTATTGATTGAAAAAAGTGTTGTTAAAATCAATGTACAAAAATCTGCAAACTCATATGATGTCAAATTTAATGTACATGTAGCATAATTGAATCTTTTTAATATTCTTAAATTTTAAAATTCAGTACTCACTTCCACTATTTAATTAATATATTCTTTATTCATATCTGAATCTCAATTAATAGCATGCCTCAATCATGTACATAATCATTTCCACTTTTTATTTTGAAATAATTCATAAGCATATTATAAGTATGTATCATATGTATGAGGTTTGCTTACTGAGTGTTAGCTCATCCTACATTATCTCTTCCCATTTTCAGATGATGAAGGCAAGATGATGCGAGGTGACGACTTATTGGTGACACCGACTCAGTACTATCATATTTAAATGTTGAATTCGTTTTTATAATTAAATTTATAATTTGATTTAATTGTTCTATATTGTTGACCACAAATTATTTAACAAACTCAATGTACATAAATTCACAAACTCATATGATATCAAACTTAATGTACATGTGGCATAATTGAAACTTTTTAATTTTCATAAAATTTAAAATTCAGTACTCACGTCCACTATTTAATTAATATAGTCTTTATTCATATCTGAATTTCAATTAAAGGTATGCCTCAATCATGGACATAATCATTTACGTAATGATTTACATACACGTGATGTGGTGAAATATAATTGGGTCACACTTTCATAAATCAAATAAAAAAAACCTCCACACTCTCTTTTGACACATTATCTATATATAACTTATTATGTAACTCCATTATATGCAAGTAATATTATTCTTATTTAATCTACTAAATAGTTAGAGGGAATATTGAGTAAGTCATATTTTGAGAATATTAGAAATTTTATCGTATTACCACGGATGACCAACACCAGCTTGAGTGACTGTAGTTTGATGAATAAAAATGAATTTCAATTTCCTTGAACAGTATATTAGTTATTCATCTATAACTAGACTAGTGCTAATCACCACAAATAATACACAACATTATTATCTTGGATTAAAAGTTTAAACCAATTCTAGAAGATTAATTTTAGAATTGATCATTCAAAGTAGCTTATGAGTAGGGTTGGACAAAACTCCCGAACCGAATCGAATCGAGCGATTCTTCATAAGTTAAATACTCGAACGGATATCTGAATCGAGAACTGACGAGTGTAGTTCGGTTCTCAATTCTAAACTTAGAATCGAATAAAAATCGAATTTAAATAAATTTTTAAATTTTTTATATTGAATTAATTAATTTTTTTAATTTTTTTCTAAACAAATTAGCAAATTAACTAATTTGGTGATTAATGTTCTAACTCCCAAGCCAAATCCATGCCTAGCTAGCACAACTGAACCCCACCCAATTTCTAAATTCAATTTTTTGATCCTATTATAATTTCATCCTTAACCCAAGATCTAGGTATTTTTAAGTTTTTATCATTCTCTTTTCAATTTCACACTTTCATTCGGTAACTATTGAGTTAATGACCCCAAATCATTTGATAAATTGAAAACTTACATCTACATGCCCAAATTGAAATCGCCGACTGCCGAGTCCGACTTCCCCTCTCCAATGCCCATCGAAGCCGCGACCTTCAACCATAACCACTGATCGTTGACCATTAGAAATATATTAAAAAATTTAATTAGGTATGAAATCGAATAGATCCGACCCGAACGGAACTGAACCCTAAATGTTCCATAATTATATTTGGATCCGACGGTTCAATTTATTAAATACCTGAAAATTTTGGTTCTATTCGCTTCTCTACAGAACCGAACCATGTCCAACCCTACTTATGAGCACGTATATTCTGAGCTCAATTTAAATTAGAAATAAATGATGAATAAATTAGTAGTGTTTTTGAATCGTACAAAATATATTAATAAAATGTTTGATTGCGTAAACGAAGGCTTTTGTTACCTATTTATAAAAATGAATTTCAATTTCAGAGTTCTGGAGCTGGTGCTGAAGCGCACAACCAAGGAGTGCCTTGGTGATCACACGTTGGGGGTTAGAGTCTACTATGGTTTAGTTGTGTCTGGACCAACGATGTAAGTTGTTCTTTTATAGTGGATTATCTACTAACAAGTTGCCTAGATGTTTTTAGTCTTGAAGAAGTTCTTCAAGGGGTTTTTCTTCGTAAACAAAATCTTAGTTTTGTTTACTTTCTACAATATTTAAACTGCTTGATTGATATCTAGATTTAGATTTGCATGATTTAATTCATCTAAATATATTTAATTGTAACTTGTTACTATTAATAGATTGGTGAATTTAAATTTCGCATTGTACACTTATTCATCCCCCTCTAGGTGTTAGTTGAGTCGCACTACTTTATTTCAAAATATATTGTTATTCAACTCTTTCTGGGTGACTTCTATATGGCTAGTTTATTAAATCATTACAATGCTAGATCGACAATAACATTAGACTGTACGAATAATAGTCTATTTGAAGCCCCACGAAAAAAGATGTGATTTTGTGGATTTTTTGTTGTTTATTATTTGGTGTGATTCATAAATCCACCCTCCACATTGATATTAGTCGTTAATGTTAGGTTTGGACAACGATAAGGCATTTTATACGCTTGTCTAGGTATTTACACGCTTATTAGGCGTTTAAACTAGCGTAATATTGAATAATTGAGCGAAATTCTATTTAATTCAGTATATATATTGCTTTTATAGGTGAAATCAAGAATTGGGGGTGAATTGAGCATAAAAGAAGAGCTTGGAGCTTAATTTAGAGAAGAGTGAAATTACGATTCGAGGACAATTCGAGTATTTTATTGGAATCTTGAATTAATAATTCACAAGTTTTGGGAACCAACACTTAACATTTGAAGAGTGTAGGGACCAAATGTAGATGGAATAAAAACATTGGGGACTAACTTGTACATTCTCAAAACTTGGGGAGCCAAATTGGAAGAAAATGGAAGTTGAAAGACCATAGTGATTGATTTTAAAAATTGAGGACCTAAATGGATGGACTTGAAGGTACTAAAATTGAAAACATTGGAAGTTGAAGGACCTAAGATGCAAATGCCTTGAGCCTAAGGTCTAGGTAGGCGTGCCTTCGGCGGATATTGCAGGTAGGGTAATTTGGCCTTAGCACCTAGGTGCAAGTCTGGGCTTATAGGCATCACACCTATTTGGAGATATATATGAATTTCAAAGTTGAGTATAATTAAGTGATCAATACTGAAGGTGTTCTCTTTCGAAATAGTTGACTGCTTGAATCTCTCTTAACTCTCTGACTTTAAAGAGGTTTGCAGACAACATTGTCAATTACCTCCGGAATAAAAGGCTATTCTTTTTCCTAAATTTAACGATGGTAGAGAGAATACAATTGTAAGGTACGAGTACAGAAATAAGAAAAAAAAGAAGAAGAAAGAAACAGACTAAAAAAGTTCAGATTGGTCACTGACCTTTCGTTAGGCTTTTAGGGGGTTACTGAACTTCAAAAGTTTTCTCGAATAGATGGATGGGGTAGCATTTTGCAAGTAAATTTTAGACGAGGTGTTTATAGTAGTTTTAAAGCAAGTTCAGTTCAGAGTTTAAGTCCGTCCAGCACTAATGTATGAAAAGTAAAGGCAAGAAACGAGATGTGGTGAGTTGTAAATTTAATATTTGTTCTTTCTCGGGTACATTAAACATTTAGATATGGTAATTTAAAAAGACATGCTAAATTAATTTATATATGTTTTGTTCTAAATTTACTTATTCTATTTAGTTGAATTTTATCATTAACACGTGTATAATTTTTATGATTGACTAGACGTTAAACTTGAATTTAAAACTTTTTATTTTGATAATATATTAAACACACATCTATGAACTTAAACTATTAGTAAACAAAAACTTATATAATTTTAACTTCAAAAAAGTTAGTTGTAAGTTGTAGGGATAATTGCAGTCACGATCCAAAATATTTTAAATCTTTGCAGGTTTTACCTTATTTATTTGTTGTATTCATGGTTTCAAACCTTTCAAGTGCGTGCACATGGAAGACAAATGTACGATTTCCGTTCATATTTTCATTAATTGACCAAAAAAAATTAATTTTAACCAAATTATATCCATTTCAAAAGGGGCATAATAGTAAATTTGTAATTTTTAACTTAAAACTATTAATAAAAAAAACCAAAAATTAAAAAATGAAAGAAAAAATAAAATACATCTTCTTCCCAAACTCACCCTACGGAAACCAAAACCCAACATCATCTGTCATCACCAGTGTTCTAAAAAACGTAAAGTGTGGCTGGGCATGGAAGCCAAGTTTAAAGTTCTACAAGCCTAGACGAGGTCTAGAGGTAAAAAAATGTTTTCTTATTTTTAGTATTTTTAATCATTCTAAAAATTATTTAATAATTAAAACAATACATACCAAATATCTAAAATTATAAAGTCCTACGTTTATTTAATGATTTCTATAATTAGCAATGTTTTAAAATGGGACTGGCCTGATTGGTTCAATTGAAAAAATCGGAACGAGGCCTAAAATCGATCTGATTTCACTTATAAAACCTTTAATTAAAAACTCTTCCAAAAACTTGTTGAACTGAATGGTTTTTACAAAACCCACGACTTGCTCTCGGTTTAACCGGGTTAAAATTGAAAAGTTAAAACCTTTGAACCCCTTAT